GGCGTTGGAGAACATCCTTCTCAACAACAACTGAGAATCTGGGAAACATCCTAGCATTCCTCATCCGGCTTGTCGCCAACGATACAATACAAGCAAGACCGCTTTAAGGCACCCAAGGATTGCCTTGGTTTTAACCAAGTTCGCGGCTGAGTTTGTTCCAGGTTATTGTTAAGAAACGAAAACCAGCATGAAACCGACCATGTGAAGGCCTGATGTTGGCACTGGGTTTGGAACTTGGGGTGTATAGCTGGCTTGTGCAAGGGATTCAGGCTCGCCTGTCAGGCACACTTAGCTGCGTCCGTCAGTGGACTCAAACTTTGCGGGCGTGCCTGTTCAGTGTGATTCCCCAAGTTTTGTGAAAGGCCCACGATGAATCCATGGAGCACCAGCCAACAAGGATAGCAACATGTACACGGGCAACAAGTCACAAGATGCCACAATTTTCACCCCACTGGCCTTGGTTGCTGCTGACCCCTCTGCCAAAAAGTTTATCTTTCTGTGGGTCCACTGGAAAATCCACTGTCTCCCAAAAAGTTAAGTCCAAAAGACCCCAACCAAATTTCCGCAAAGTTCCAGTAGCATTTGGTCCCCCCACCCAGTTCCATGCCTGCACACGCAGAGTGCCCAGGGTCACAATCACGGAGCTGGCATTGCCCGCATCACCGAAGAGCGCGGCCTGGGATAGAAACACCTTGGGACCTCAACTCAGATGCCCAGTGGCCATGGGAAAAAAAGGGCACCCTTTTTTTGGTTGGTTGTTTCAAAGGGGGACCTTCCCCAAAAAAAGGAAAACAAAAAGGCACCACTTGGCAACTTAATCAACAAAGCCCCCTTTTTGAGAAAATGCTCCGGAGATCAAGATGCCTCCAATGGAAGCTCTGATGCTTAGGGCAACTTGAGGACAGACGGTGAGTGAAAGGCAACCAACTGTCCGCGTTGGGCTGCAAAAGGGCCACACACGAAAAGCAGAGCGCCGTGCAGTTTCTCGTGCATTCTGCAACAAGTTCTTGGAGTCATTAACATGCTCACAACCCCGCTTTTGCTCTGAAAGAATGATTCGATAGTTATGAGAAAAAGTGTCCAGCTCGAGGAAGATGTGGTTGGCTTTGTTTGAGGATACCCCTTTTTTGGGTGCTGTACTCGCAGCACCACGACCAATATTGGGCCAGACCAGTACATGTTTTGTGAAATCGGGGATCTCCTTCTTTACACAAACAACATCGTCATTATCACCATTGACCGAGTACCGCAACGCATTGCGGCGGAAATTCCCGCCGCCTTCCAGAAAATCAGCCGCAAACCAAAAAAACAAGCCGCAAGCAAAACAAAAACGCCGCAACACCGTTTGCTTCCCGGAATTTCCGCCGCATTCCCGCCGATTTCCGCCGCATTCCCGCCGATTGCGGCCGCAAATCGGGGGGTAGAAAAAACTGAAAACAAGTTCTGCCGCAATTCTTAAAGAAAGCAGCAAGTCAGGAAGAAATGCCGCAAATCCAAAAAGGCGCCTTTTTTGATTTGCGGCAGAAATTTCTGCCGCAACGAATCTCTAGGTATGTTTGGTTAAAATCCTTCAAAACCAGCTTCAGTTAGCTGCGTGCTATTGTCCTCCAACATGTTCCCCGTTGGAAACCCGCGTTTCAAATCCTCAAACCAAGCCAAACCGTAAATTAAGAAGCAAACAAAGTGAAATAAAGAACCCAGCAATCAATTGGCCTTTCATTGGCAATTTGAAAGCGATACCTTCCTTTTCACTTTCAACAGAAACGGTTCACATCCACGAAGCATCAAACCAAAACTCCCTTTTTGGGGCCTCCCTGAACGAAGATGGGTTCTGAGCAAGCCCGAGGCGCATTCCTATTCCTCATATCACACTTCCAACCTGACACCTCCCAGGGACAAACCGCATAGCGTCGCTGTTGGGGAAGCAAAATTGTTTAAAGCACAAACTGAGGGCTCATGATATTCCTCACACGAGACGCAAAATGGTGGGTTGCCTTTGGGTTTTGCTTTCAAACCACCCGAAACATATGGTACCCTCAAAAGACTACAACCCCACTCACTTCCTTGGTGGATCGGCCAAACAAGTCAAACGTATGTTGTTTGCCACTAAAATGGTCTGCCCCTAAAAGTGTTCAGTCCTGGAACGCAGAGAGTGCGCAAAAGAACACACCCCTTCTGAAAAAGCCGAATCCTCCCGAGGTTCGCACCGGCCAAGGCCAGGATGGGCCGCATGGCTCGAGGCGTGCGAGGCACCGCGGCACAAGCTCAAATGAGCTCTGCACTATACCAAGTGCCATCTTTGTTTAAGATATGTCCAATGTGTTATCCTTTGTTTACTAACTTAACCTTGCAACAATGTACAATGATTTTATTGTGTTGTTTGTTTGGTAGCGTCTGTAGCACATAACGACCTGTCCATGGTCTTGTTCTTCCCAACAAATACATCAAGGACAGGAGTCCTTTGGTATTACTTGCATTGTCAAGTAAGGACTCTTTCCAAAAAACAAGGGAGTGACAAGCGGTCGAGTGCACGTGACGCTTGAAAGGGCTTTGCTCATCGATCCATCCCAGTTCCAAAGATGCCCCGATTCCAATCAGAGAACGACCAACACCACGGCAATGTGTTGGCTTTTGCATTTTAGCAGGTGGAAAGCAAAAGCCAGCCTAGGGGTGAGTAGTAGTCCCATTTTTCGAAATGGACACCTAGCCACAATCACAAGCTGGAGAAGCGCACAACCCAATCTAAAGAATAGACATTTGCCAGAAACCCCTGCTTTCTGTTCACACAACTCCAGCTTTTGAGGGCTGCTGCTCTGGAGGGTTCTGCGCCAGCTAACTCAACCGACTTCTCGCAGCCGCCAGACGGTGCGACGCTTCCGAGATCTCTGCCAACCACTTGCAAAGAGAGCTAATGTTGCACCTCCTTTGATGATGGGGTCCTCCATGTGTGTTTTTCCGTGCTTCCGGATCCTGTGACTGCGAGTCCTCTCTTTTGGAAAATACGAGCAACGAAAAAGCTCGGCAAGCATTTTTTCCAAAAATCAAGCACATCCTGGCTAACATGGGGGGTCATCTTTGCTGAGGATATTTTAAAACCCTCTGTTGTGTTCAACTGGTTTCGGGGTTGCTGACAATTGCAAACCAAAGCCTCAGCCTTTTACAGTCTGCCAATGTTCAAGTCAAATAAACAATGCTAAAAACTTAATACTGGGAAGCTCCAGCACTACAAAACCTTACAGACACCCGGCAACAAATCTGAATAAGAAGCTCCAGCAAGACTACCTCGCATGGAAACTCAAGCCTACCAGTACCCCAGGCATGAGCAATACTAAGTCCAACAAATATTCGGCTGCAAATCTGACGAGGAAGCTCCAACAATACAAAATCGAATAAAAACTCGAGCCTACCAAGACTCAATCGAGCTCATCCAAGTCCCACCCGAACCTCCAGGATCTCCCTAACGAGGGTCCAGCTGACTGGGTCCATGTTCGGGGGGGGGGGGGGGGGAGCATTACAAAGGGTCCAACCTAACTTCAGCGGAGCGTGGCAACGACAGAGCCAAATCCAACTTTTGAGCCCGGAACCACACACCTTGCGTCTGGATGGTTGTCGACATTGTGCGGTCCACATGAAGCACACCGCAACCATTCTTTGCACCGGTGCTCGAACGGAAAGCGCTGGCCCACATGTATCCGCGTCTCACGCAACCTAGCTGCCAACCACGCTCTATCTCTACGTACTCTCGGAACGCTACCTCCCAAAAATCTCTTGCCAGGAATTCTTTAAGCCTCGAACAATAGAAATGTGAAAATCTCAAATTATTAAAACGTAACATTCCTTCAATCCGGGCTAGATTTTAACTTCCTTAAACTCTTACTCTTGAATTTTTGAAATCTTGAAACCTTAAGATCTTAAAATTACAACCTTACAAGATAGAATCTTGCAACCTGAAAATATTAACATCCTCAAGTCTTCGAATCTTGACTTCTTAAAACCCTCATGTCTGTCGTTGAATCTTCGGATGTTAAAATGTTAAAATGTGAAATTCCTAACTTCTCAAGGTCTTAAAATCTCAGACTCTGAAACTTAGATTCTTTAAATCTCGAACTATTGCAATCTGAAAATATTAAATTCATAAACAAGCAAAATATAATAAAATTCCTTCAATCCGGGCTATATTCTCAATTCCTTAAACTCTTAATCTTGAAATATTGAAGTCTTGACATCTTAAGATCTTACAATCTTAAATTCCGAAAGTCGCAAAATCTGAAAATCTCACAAAATAAACTTAAAGCCTTCGAAATCTGATACTGGCTGGAAAATGGCTGGGCAATGGCCTGGCTGTTATAACCTTCAAAAACCTTAAATCTTCGAATCTTAAAACCTTAATTCTTCAACCATTGAAACCTTAAATTCCAAAAGTCTTCAAATCTGAGACCCTTAGAATCTCACAGTCTTTAGAATTTTTAAGTCTTAACATCTACTCATCGGACTTACCGGACAGGGAAGTCACAGAACGGGCAGGGCAAGGTGCCCGGTGGCCGGCTGTGTCGCGTCAGCGTGTAAATATTTCTGCATTCGATTCTAGATTTCAGACGACCCCTCCAATGCAAGACGAAGCACAGGCTTACTGAAGAGAGCGTCCCCTCATTGGGGGTGGGTTTTTGAAACCCACAAAATGCACCAATTTCAACTTTCTTCATCCCTGTGTGTCAAAAAAAAAAACACCCCCCATGAGGGGCGCTTCTGATACCGAATTCCCCCCCCCCAATGAATCAAATTACATTCCCATTCTATTCATCCATCGGTCTCAATAGAGAAACCACCTATTGTCCAGGGGGTTTGACAACCATTTCTTGAAGAGAAAAGGACCCCTGAAGAGACTTTCTTCATCCCTCTGTGTCAAAACCGAAACGAAAACCCCCCCCCATGAGCCGAACCCCCCTCCCCTCAATGACTCAAGGTCTACCTGGAGGGCTTTACTGTTCGGAGCCCCGGCTTTATATCTGATCCATCCGATCATCCGATATCTGATGGCCAAGGCGCAAGCACGCCACCCGCGCGGGCTGCGCCGAGACATCTGCGGCCGCCTGCGCCCGAAGCCGAAGCTTTTCCCAAAGGCTGAGGTCTGCGTCTGATTTTCTGGGCTGTCCCCAGATCTTCGCCAAAAGTTTAGCTTTAAGTGGGGCAAATGGACATCCAACCACTAAGCACGAAAAGGCCAAATAAAAGCTAAGTTGAACCGGATGGCTGGGCTTGCCACCAAGTTTTGGGGGAACCGAACCGGAGGGGGGGGGGGGCGCCTCACTTCCTGAGAAAGTGAAACCAAACATGGAATTCCAGGGTTCACCCTCAAAGGGGCGGAGATACGAAGGCAGTTGTTCTGGATGCTTTCGTTTGCACTTTCATCGGACCCCCCCGACTTGGGCTGGAAATTGCATTCCGGCATTCCCAGCATCTCTCCGCTGCAAAACACTGACTGGGAAAGTAAGACACATGCATGGTGTGGCTGTACCTTTGCCAAGGCGACCATACCACTACCTTTGAATCACAAGGGCACTCAGTTTTAAAGACCATTTGAGTCACAATCAAAACCTGGTACAAAAATGGTGAACCCAGAACCATGCTTCAAGAATTAGAAAGGCGGATATCCGCAACTATTTCTGGCTGGGATTGTCCCTAACCTTCATCAATCCCCAGGTTTTGAGCACGTGGCTCATTTGGCAATTCTTCTTTGCACTTCACTTTGAGACCAAAGGATGCGATCCGACACGCTAGATCCGATCCCGAAGGGTCCCGGCCAAACCAGGCCTGGGGCACACAGAACCATCATATCTTCAAATGCTCGGTCATGTTCGGTCTAATTACCCTGAAAGTCCCAACAACAACAACATGTTGTTGCAGGAAATGTCATGTTTAGTACCATTGTCCCGAAAGTCCCAACGAAAACATGCTGTTGCAGGAAGTCGGCCGTTTTTTGGGGGTCAGGTCTTGACACCATTCTAGGGGTAACGTCCCCATTCTTGCCAGGGATCCTTCTTTCTAGAAAACCACCAAAAAACCCGGGGAAATGGCCGGTGTTTGAAGAGAACGACGGCTAAAAAGAATAGAAAAGGAATCAACCCCTAGTCTGATTACCCTGAAAGTCCCAACAAAAACATGCTGTTGCAGGAAATACCTCTTTTTTGTTGGTCAAAACTTGACACCATGCCCCCAAACATCGCTTCACCTCGCCCGCCTCCTTGTAGGCGGCGTCTACCCGTGCCGGCTCGCAGGAGATCTCTTTCGCGTCGGGCAGGGCCGGCAGGTCCGCTCGAGCACCTCAAACTGGCAGTTGCACTTTCGCCCCCTGGAAAAAACAAAAACATAGATTCCCTTTAGAACCAGCAAGGCAAATATAACATATTCTTAAGCAAGTGGTGGCAAAGGAACTGAAAGACTCAGCTCCCCAATCAGTTGCCCTCAGTTCTGAGCTGTCCGTGCTCAGATCCCCCGCTAAAAGTGACTAACTTTTGCTGGGTTGAATGGAAACTACCACTAAACCAACTTCCATTTGTGTCTTCGCGTCCTGGAAAAATGAGTACATATGTCCAGCAGAACAAGGGAAAATCATCAGAAATCTCAGAAAATGGAAGCTATTCAGTTGCCCTCAAGTGATCCCAAAATACAAGGCTCCCTCCAGCGCTACGCAAAAGCAGCCCGTGGACACCCGCACTCGTGCGGAGGTTTCAAGGCATAGAATGTGTTTCTGGCTTGTCTTACACTCGCTTACAGACTGGCAACAGGAACCTTTTGGTTTGGAGGTGTTCCGGGTAGCCCTTTTAAAGTGGGTTCTGAACTTGAACTCCTGGTAAAGGGCCTTTCCACTTGGCCTGTCCATGATGTCGTGCAACTGGACGTACAAAGCCAGAATGTCCTAAGTATTCCCCCCGTATTTACGGTTCTGGTTGCATAAATTCCAAAATCCGCAACTCTGAGGTAGATATCTGGACCTCCTGGGAAACAACAAACAAACAAACAAAACAGGTAATAAACACACAAACAAACAAACCAGCCAACCAACCAAACAACAAACAAGCAAACTAGCAACCAACCAAACAACAAGCAAACAAACAAATAACAAACAACAAACACACAATAATACATACATACAAACCAAATACATTTTGGGAGGGCTTCAAAATGCTTCAAACGGATCCCCCCACCCCACCTCCGGAACAAACCCAGCCTGACGGAAAGGCCTGGTGTGCCTTTCGCACCGTCGCCAGCAGGGTGCCCAGGCGGAAGTCCTGACAGAGACTTCTCCTACCTAGGGCTTCAAGAACCTGTAAACATGTCGTACCTTCTTCCTGCCTAGGGCTTCAAAAACATCCTGTTGTTCAAAATAATATCCTACCTGGGCTTCAAAAGTATCGTGTTTTCCGAAAGAACATTGTTTTCTTTTTTCCCGTAGGTATGACATGTTCATCGGTTCTTGAGGCTGGTAGTAGTACCAAGCAAAATAAGCCAGCAGGCACGCTGCCTACAACTCAGCTGCCCCGAAAAATACAAGGTGATCACTTTTGGAAACTTGACGTTCATCATGGACTCCATGGACCAACTCAGGGAAACCAAAAGGTTGAAAGGTCGATTCGCCCGTCCCGCCCTCCCAATCCTTTCGCTTCCCTTTGCGAAAGTCACGGGATGCCGGCCCTGCTAATTCTGCTCGCTTTTGCCAGGTCCTCGAAAACCGCAAAAACAACACATGCCAACAAAAGCAGATGCTAACCCACCAAGCTTCCAGTCAGGTAACCAGCTAGCTTTACTGCTAGGTTTTGCATCATGGTTTCCCCTGGTTAGCTAAGTGGCTTGCCTGGAAGCACTGGGGACCAACATGGTTTTGGGCCCTTTTTTTGCTGGACCGTTTTGGTTTCCGAGGGCTCGAGTCAAGTCCTTCGGCGGTCCCACGCAGGTGCCGCACGCAAAGTCCGCCAAAAGGCGCTGGGGACAGTCCCGCATCACCTCGCGTTCAGGATTCAGCCGCAAAGGGATTCCTACAAACAACAACACGCCCGGCCCCACGTGCCCTTTTAGATGCCAATCACAATGCAAAATCCCAATAGGAAACCCTTAAGCAACCCAAAGCAATGATTGAGGATTGCCTTTGAACAACCCAGAAAGTATCATCGGGCAGAATGAACCAAGCTCCTGCAAGAACGACCAACAGGAGGTTTCCTAAACCCCAGGTGCTTCAACTCGTAGACCCCAGTAGCTCAGTAGCTATAGGAAAAACATATCTTCACAGGGGTCACTGGATTTCAAGGATTTCCCTTCAAAAGTTGCCATTGGCTGGCGGTTTCCGTTGAAATTGCCACTTTCAAATCCTCGGTTATGAGCTTTAATAAACCAAGGTGGGGGCTATGCATCAGTTTGGCCGCTTCAACGACGGTTTGCTAAGGCCCCTCCCATAGATAATTTGAATGGTAAGCGAACAACTGGTGGCTTCCATGTTCAAACAAGTCCTAAATCATCAATGGCTTTCCCTAAGTGAAACAATCTTTTCACCAATTGGGTTCCCAAAGTCGTTAGTTCCACTTTTGGCAAAGGCAGATGGGAGGGGTTACTGCGCCACCGCAAGCGGGGTCGTTTCGGGCGTGCCATTCCCATTGTTGCTGGTGGGAACATGCGCCGAAACCTAAGCACTTCCTGAGCGAGATGGGCACTCAGGGAGTTAAATGACTCTCCTATGACCATTGGATCATCTGCTTTTACGCTACCCCACCTAATTTGATCGTTGATCCCTCACATGCCCCCAAGCATCACCCCAAAAACTGAAACTCAAGTCAACTCGACCCAAGGAACGTCTGATTGAGGGGTGCGAGTCGCCAGCGCCGCCAGCAGCGCGTCGTCCAGGCGCGCCAGGCGCGCCGCGGGGTTTGGCGCGGCCTGGGCGGCCAGCAGCGAGGCGCTCAACGAGGCGCCGGTGCAGCCTGGCTGCTGGGGGTTAGAGTCGAGTGGCTTGGGGTGGGTTGTTTCACCGGGGCTCCGGGGAAACAAGAACAACAGGTTTGGGGGGGGGGTCTGGCTTGGGGTTGTCTCGCCGGGGTACAGTATGGCTGAAAAAAACTGGACTTCGATTTTGGAATTTGGTTTGCAGCTACTAAAGCTAAGAAGGAACAAAACAACAAACTCAAACACTTGCCAAGAGGAGTAGGGGGTTGGTGGGGCAGGGGGAGGGGGGGGACTTAAATTGTGAGTGGACCAACAGGTTTGGTTTTGCCGGAGGTGGGGGGAGGGGAGGGGGGGCCTCACTTCCTGAGTATCTTTATATGGCTCCCTATGAGAATTTGGATACGTCCCCTTCCAACCAGCGGCCAAAGAGCTGCCAGCATCCACATGGGCGTGATAGCATCTCGCCGGTAGCTGCCGCAGCAGCTGCCGCGGCCACCTCGGCAGCAGGTTGCTGGAACTCCAGAAGCTACTCAGTTGCCCTGAAACCAAAACGGCTTTGGCTCAAAAAACCGGTACCAAAATGGTACCCTGGTAAGTGGAAACATGGACCAAGACCTGCGTAACCCCTCCTGGTGAATTTTAAGCCATACCCAAATACCCAGGGAAACGGCGTTTTTTTTTTTTGAAAAGAACGATGGTTGAAAAGAATGGGGAATCAACGGTTAGAATATTGGTGGGGCTACATCCCATGTTTAGAGGTTCTTTGAGGGTCCAGCTACTCAGTCGCACTCAAAACTTGCCCAAAGGCGAATTGGCCTTATCACCTTTTGGGCTCCCATTTTTAGTCATGGCCCCGAAAAGCTGACCTTCCCCAAAATGGGGGCTCCGCGCCAAAAAAGTGTCCTCTGAAAATTCATGGTTTCTGGGTTCCATGTTGAATCTGTGGAGTAACTTTCTACCGTCAGAATGGACCAAACAGAAACCAAATCATCAAAAGGCCGAGTCGCTTGGGCAAGTAAAATAATTACCATGGATCCCAGGCACTTCAGGCATTTTCCTCTTGGCCTGGATCCCTTGGTTGAAGCGAATTCAGTGGATGGACACAATCCTACAGTTGGTAAATTGTTTATCGGTTTATCCCATTCTTCATTATCCAACTGGTGCAGGATTTGGTGCATCCATAGCAGACAGCAGGGGCAAACACAAATCCACGCATTCTTCTTTGTTGAGCATGACCTCAATCTGTTTTCAGTCCCCCCCCACACCCCATTCCGACCATTTAGGACCGCATAGTCCAATCGAGGCAGAAATCACCAGCCACCATTGAAGACCTGCAGAAAGCCGACGCCCGCTGGAAAGCCCAAGAAACTCGTCACAATCGGAAGGATCAAAGTTTGGAAACTGAACAAGTGAAAGAAGGGTGAGTCACAGGTCAGTCACTCTCCACAATGCTAGCAAGTTCCCTCCATTGCTGTGATTAAGCAGCCCGTGCTTGTTGGCGGGACTTGGACATCCGCACTTGTGTCGCTGTCCAAAGCATAAAACTCATTGGGCTTGTCTCACACTCACTCACGGACTGGCAAAGCAAGGTTGCCAATAGAATAGCCTCAAGGTCCTGGCAATAAAAGGTCAACCTTTTGGGACCTTTACGCAAAATGGACCAGCCAGAGGACACTAAAAGGTCAGATCCGGTCGAGGCGCTTTAGGCAAGGGAGTTAAAGTTCAATGTTTAGGAACTCAGGCAGTGATCCCTCGTCAGTCGCCTTAAGCGAGCAAAAGAAGGCTCATGTTTGAGCCGCATGGATCAACGGAGAAGCAGGGAATACTGTAATACTTGGTTGAAGTTGGAAGGGGCGCAAAACAATGTCATTTTTAGCAGTTCAGTGGTGACTTCCCACTAAACCGCAATAAGCAAAAATGTAAAATGTGTCCCTAGCAACAACCATGAATACCCTGTAAGAAGTTTCTAATTTTTCAGGTTTTCCTAAAGGCCTCCAGGGCCCAAGCGTTTCCACCGGTTTCTCAAGTTCTCAGGCCCAAGCAACGGGTACCAAATACAGACTTGAGAAGGGGAGACACGAAAGGTAGAATACCGTTAAAGTGGTCCCCCTTATGTGTCCTCTAAAAAAAGGAAGAGGCTTGCATCGAATACCATTTAGGTGCGCATGGAGCTCAACAGCTTGACTAAGTTAAGAGGATTTAAGAGGCGATTTCCGTTCCGCGAAAAAGTGAAGTATATGTTGACCAAGTTGGGCACTGACGAAGCGAGCAAGGGACAAGGTGCACCGTGACTTGGTGCGAAAAGCGGACCGAAGTGTGAAGCGAAGCGAGCGAAAAGAGTGGAAAAAGGAGCGAAGCTGCCAATCACGGCCAGAGGGCGGACCAGGGGGGCGTCCAGGAGGGGGGAGGGGGGGGGGGCGATATTTCATTGGTTTTGCGGCCGGACCGACCCCCGGACCCCCTCAGCCTAGCCTTGCTAACGCAGGGACAAACTCAAGCTAGCCTCCTCGAGGCTACCCTTCGTGGAAAACAAGGAAAAACTAAAAACCGAGGGCAAACAAAACTCAAGGACTGCAAACTAGACCAAACACTGAACCTATACCCTCCCGCCAATTGACATAGAACCTGACAGGGGGTCCTGGAAAATATGTGTCCTTTTCAAGGGACCGTCAGGTTCCATGATAATGAGTGAGAGGGCACCGAATCATAGTACAGAATGGTGGACCCAACGTGCCGAACACCATCTGCCTGGAGTCTCCATGAGTCGTAACAAAAGAAAGGGGGCATGGCCCCCATTTTAAAAGGGTCAGATTTCGAATCGCTGGGAAGCCCTAGCCAACATCACTACTGGCTGCATGGGTATCCTCCTGCTCCGTTGCTTGCTTTCTTTCAAAGCAAATAACCCCCCTACTGCAAGTGGGAGGGGGGTGGGGGGTCCCCAATTCCATTTAACTCGTCTTCCCCATAAAAGGGAAACGGGTTTCCATATATGGAGATCTCCAGGGGTCGTTTTCTTCCCCCTCCCCCAATTAACCATATTTAACATCCATGTGCTTGTTTTTTTCATTTTTCCTTGTTGGTTTTAACAGGAGTTCATCACTACTTGACATACTTTTGCCTGGGACCTTAACCAAATGGAAGTTTAGGGGGTGGAGCTAAGCAAATAGCCCCTGCTCATTCGTCCGTCCCCAGTTTGACCAGTCGGACTTCCATGGGCACGGGGTTGGGGCCCTGGCAACCTGTGCGCGGAAGTGACCGGGCTGATACGCTGCAGCGCCCTCCGCCGCAGCAATCCTCGAGTTGCTTCAGTCCCCTGGACACACATATGCCTGGACCCTCAAACTACCGATAAAAAAAGGGAACTAACCCCATAATGTTGAGGCCAGAACCAATTTTCATGGGAATGTTGAGGGTTCGGGTACATATATTTGATGGGCAGACAGACGTCTTGCGGCTCAAGTCCTTTTCCCTGGAACGGCCCGTCAATTCGGAGCGAGCCGTCCTGGTCTGCGCAGGTCCTGCGATGAATCGGGCCCGGGAAACCGCACCGTACTCAACACCCAGCTTGCTTGGCCCAAATGGGGTACACAGAAAACAATCCAAACTCAGGTCATACTGTGGATGGACGAATCCGTTCGCACCAATCGAAACGACACCATAGTTGAAGGGGAATCGTCAGAAACCAGGGTTTCTGACGTGCCCATCCAAAGAATTCCTTAAATTCAGTCCTGAAACTATATATGATATATGATGGAGTCTCTCGTGCATACAGCTTCACAGGTTGCAGGCTTCACCCTAAAAAAGAAAGAAAGAGATAGAACCAACCAAAATGGCAACTCAACAAAAGCGCTGTGGCCTTAAGTCTGGGTCAGCAGGGCTTGGAGTTATTTTGCTTGGAATTTGGATGCTCCAAACATCACGGCCGGACCAAAGCGCAGGTTTTAGACTTTGTTTCCATACCTGGAGTCTCCATGACCCTTGAACAATGGGGTCATTACCCAAAATAAAGGGGGGTCAGGACCCATTTTTGTTTAAAGGGTCATGGAGATTTCAGGTACGCTATTCCGTGTTGGGTACCCAGCTTTCGAGCCACAGCCATTTCACAGGAAAGATTCCCCCCACGAACAAAACTGTGAGGTAACGCTGCAGGCGTATGCCCAAACTGAGTATCTTTAGACTCATGGGACACCCTCAAAGCGGCCTCGTGCGAAGCACGAGGAGGTGTTTCCTCTGTGGGTTCAGGGGAGGGGAGGGTGGCGCCTAAGGCTCCAGCAACTCGCCCTGGAGCTGGAGGACTTTCTGGGCTGACCAATCACCTCTGCCGGCCTGTGCCGGCCTACGGCAGGAATTTCGGATTCAGTTAAAGCTCGCACTTAAGCAGAACCAAGCTGGCATGGGGCCTGCAAGACGAGTGGAAACAAAGGCGCCGTGTCTTCGATTGCGTCCAAGGAGAACGAGTCAGCGACAAGGCACCGGTTCAGAAGCCTGAAGCAACATTCAAACCACCCTCCCTCCAACAACCGGACTGTTCCTCTTAGGCACCACCTAGGAAACGGCGTAATGTGATTCCACTGTTACCAACAAACGTTATGGTTTCAACCATTGTTTCAAAGTGGTGCGATGTTGGATTTCGTCCATTCCATCCACAGGTAACCCTCCCAAAGGAAACTTGTAATCCAGGAAGTCACTTGCCATGCTAGTGAATGGGAGGATACTAAAGCCACTGACCATCCTTATTACTCGTTCTCACCAGAGAGCCAACGTAAGTTCGGCTCCATTTTCCCTGCGCTTCTCTCCAGTTGACCAGCGCCATCTTCCCAGCTTCATAATCGGGCGATCAATGCTTGGGACTTGGGACTCTGCGGTGACAGCCGCACTTTCTCGCCATCCTGGAAGAACTGCCGAACAGCACTCCAGCTCATACCACTGCGGTCGTTCTCAATCAGGTGGTGCAAGTAGAAATAGACCGTGTTGCCACAAGCCTACGAGTTTGCAATAAGATTGCCACATGGGCCTCACATGGGAAATCAATTCCGGCCAGGAGTACTTCCCAAGCCTCTGTCCCTTTGCAATTCCATGCTTACAGGCCCCCAATAGAGACGTACATCTGGGTGAGGTAGGATTCGCCAACGCCGCCAAGTTAACATGAGAGATCCCAAAAAAGGAACATGCATAAAGACAAATACTGTGGATGGACGAAATCCATTTCACACCACCTGCGAAACCTGAATTTCTCATGAGTCCCCTGTAAAAACCAACAAATGTTATGCTTTCAACTATGGCTAGATTTCGTGGTGCGAACGGACTTCGCAACCATCTACAGTAGTAAGGCCTTCATCACCTTAAGGACGAGAAAGGATCCCACAAAAGGACGAAACAGAACATTCATAGATAGGTAGATGGTAGCAACCCCCCGTGATTTGGCAAAATCTTCGCTGCCCAAAGCGCCGGCCAAGGGAATCCTGAACGGATCAAAGGTCAGCTTTAAGGAGAACTGGTCTCAGCTTGAGCGGCACAAACCCCACAAACTGTACCTTTGCAACCCAAACGGCATGGCTTGGCAAAACCAGGTTCTACTTTTTGCAGCCTCCAACCCTATAAATGGATGAACAGAGAAGAAACACAACAAAAACACAGGAACTTGCCAAGAACAGTGAAGCTATGAATAGAAGCTTTGCCAAATTTGGCCCACAGCCCTGTCTCTCTCAGAAAGCCGCAACTGATGAGTGCCTGCATCAACTTCTGCGCCTCTTGCACTGTGGCAACGCCAGGGCCAACGTGCCTCCGGCGCGCAAAAGAACAAGAAGCCATTCGGCCTGGGTTGTTGCAATCCGCCAGTGAGAAAACATGGAGCTTCGGCCCTACCACATCTCTATTGCGCCCACAGGCCATAATTATAAGAAAATGCCAAGGGGAATGGGTCAAACAAATAGTCTTGGGTCTTGACTGGAACTTGAAAAATGCTGAAACCAGCTCAGGATAACCTTGGCAAATTTGAATTCCCTGAGCTCTGGGCATGTCTGACAGCCTTCACAGTCGTGGCCCTTTTCTTAGGCTATGCCGAAACTAACACGGGCGCTGCCGGAACTATTGCACAACCAACTCTGGGTCTTGCAAAGCCGTCAGAATAGGAGTAACCTAGTACTTACTAAGTTCTTTCTTTTCTAGGAAAAGAGCAACGCACAGGCAAAAACACAAACAAAACAACCGAACACAACAAAAATACAAAACCACAACAAAAATACCAAAAACGCCACGCACCTTGCGGGT